ACCCTCACTCGGACGAGGACACGCCGACGTCCGACGACCTGGAGCAGTTCGCCAAGCAGTTCAAGCAGCGGCGCATCAAGCTGGGCTTCACGCAGGCGGACGTGGGGCTGGCCCTGGGCACCTTGTACGGCAACGTGTTCTCGCAGACCACCATCTGCCGCTTCGAGGACCTGCAGCTCAGCTTCAAGAACATGTGCAAGCTCAAGCCGCTGCTGAACAAGTGGCTGGAGGAGGCGGACTCGAGCACCGGCAGCCCCACGAGCATCGACAAGATCGCGGCGCAGGGCCGCAAGCGCAAGAAGCGGACCTCCATCGAGGTGAGCGTCAAGGGCGCGCTCGAGAGCCACTTCCTCAAGTGCCCCAAGCCCTCGGCCCAGGAGATCACCAACCTGGCCGACAGCCTGCAGCTCGAGAAGGAGGTGGTGCGCGTTTGGTTCTGCAACCGGCGCCAGAAGGAGAAGCGCATGACGCCGCCCGGCATCCAGCAGCAGACGCCCGACGATGTCTACTCGCAAGTGGTCCTCTCTCAGCCGGGAAAGTCCTCCCTGGAGGAAAGAAGAGACTGGCCGGCGAGACGGTTTCTGAGTCCTAGAGAAGAGGGACCAAACAAACAAAATATAATAAACACCCAAACGGTATACACAAGCAAAACCGGAAGAGAGAAAGGGGGCGATCCTGGGGTCGCATTTATACTGTGGTGATGTTTCGGGTTTTGTTCTTGTTGTTGTTTTTTAAAAAGGGTGAAGAGGCCTAGCGCACCAAAACTGCACTCGCCAGGTTTTGCCCGCCCCGAGGAGCCCCCAGGGCGAGGGCGGACAGCACCTAGCACCTGCCTCTCCCTCTCCCCTTAAAAAAAAGCTCCCCCCCCCCTCTAAAGGGCTGCCTAAAGTGACCGACCGACCGACCGACCGGGACTTGGTTCCTGGGAGCCTCTGAAAGCAGCAGAGGCACCGGGCTGAATCAGGGACGACTCTGCTGGGAACCAGCTCTTCTTGGCCATATGAAGTCATTTGGGGACAAACTGACTATGAAACGGGAAGGAGAAAAAAAGAACAGTCTCCAGCAAAAATAATACCCACAGCTTCTGAAATTAACAAGCTGAAGAGCAAAGCCAAAAGAACACGTTTCCTTCGAATAACCTTGGAAATAAAAACATCACGAAGGAGCAGAGGGATGGGCCGGGGCGAAGGGGACTTCCGCTCATCCGTCGCCGAGTGGGAGAGGCCCCCACGTAGGCCCGAGGCCCGCCGCAGCCCGGCTGCCAGGGCTGCCTCTGGGACGGAGGATGCCTAACGATTCCACCGCTAATAATTTTTTTATTAATATTTTTTATTTTTTATTTCTGGACTGACTCATAAAGGGATTTAGAAAGACTGAGCACCAGCCGCTGCACTTCTCGGACTTAGCTCCTCAACCCGTTGCCAACTTTGATCGAATGGGTGCTGCGGCTGTGATTATAATACTGCCATTTCCAAGCAGTGTTTTTGGTAGGTTTTAATAAACAGACTTTTCAAAAGACGGCAATATAGATTGTTAGATCCGTTGCTGATCTAAAAATATTTGCTTTATATTTTCATTAAATGACTTCTTTTAATATTTTATTCAGAATACTTATGAACTGCTGCAAAATGGTAATTTATTTTTCCCCAGATCTTGTATTACGTGTTTTTTTCAGACGAGCACAAATCAAAATGAAATGAAAATATGGACAGTTGTTAGGTAATAAGGGTATCTTTTGATGTGATCATTTGATTGTAATTTAATTTGAGTAGTGATTCCGTAAGAGCTGATCGAGAAAATAAATTTGTTAGAATGAAATAGTCTGTGTCTGATGCATAAACACTGTGTGGGAAGAAATAGTTGGAAAATATTTTTTTACTAATGCATATCCTTGAGTGCTAGCGCTGAGGGAGCCCAGTAGCGCTGGGGCACTAAGGTGTGTTTGGAAATCTAGAGTAAAGGACAGACTTGACAGAAATTGCTAGTGCTCTAACTACTCGGCACTCCCTGGTCAGCTGTCAATTTCACAGTCTTTTCCTTTCCTGTAATTTTAATGGATGTTTTTAGGGGAGTATTTACTACTTTTCTTGGAGATACCTGTGTTCTTCAACATCTTTATCAAAAGATTGGATTACATCACCAGTAAAAAATGTGCCAGCTGGTTATTAATGGTTAATACAGAGCCCTTTTCCAAAGTTTAGCCTCTTTTTCCTCTCCTCCCCCACCACATTGCTATGTTTCTTTCTTCTTTTTCTGAAGACTAATAGTTGTGAAGAAGAGCTTACAACTATTCCATTGATATTATGTAATTAAGTTTAAATTATTAAGCTGGTTTAGGGTTTGTTTTGTTGGTTTGTTTCTGTAATGAAAGAATGGAGTTCCAAAATCCTGACTGTGGTCCCCACTGCTTTACCCTCGGTGTGATTACCAGCTCAGACCTAAAAGTCTACATGTCTGGGTTTTGGTGTTTCTCCAGTGTGATTCTGTATCTTCACTGACCCTGGGGTTTTAGCTTTTGGATCACTCCTTAGATATAGCCTGCAGAGCGGTCACATTTATCACATCGATGTATCAATATTTACCATGTGGGAAAGCGAAAGTGTGATGCCTCAGGTTGTGAGTACTAAAGACTCTGCTTAGTTGAGTCCTTTCATACTGGACTTTTAAAAAGTATTTGGGGTGATAAAGCAGTGATTTTATAGGATAATTTCCCCCTAATCCCATTTAGCTGTCACTCACTTTTTGCCTTCTCTCATCCTCACTTCCTCCCCCTAAGATATCAACGTAGGGGTTAAAAAACCCGGAAAACTGTGCGAGCAACAAGGAGCAGTTATTTCTTCCAGACAGACCCTGTGTCACTTTCATAAATCAAGCCTAGCCAGATGGCCGTGTGTTGGGTTGCATTATTTTAAACACCAGATAGTACTGAAAATCCCAATCATTTTGATTTGTGAAATCTGAAAAAGGCCATATTTATTAAACAGAAAGAAGAAAAATTGAAAATAAGAAACCACGATTTACTTTTCTTGGCTTTCTTGTTTCCTTCTTTCTCTTGCTATTGTAATCTCCCTGCCCAGCAAATGTAAAACCTGGAGTGGATATAAACTTCATCAGTTCTCGAGGGTCTACAGGGGCAAGGCAAGAAGGCCTTATTGGAAAGCTGAGGATTGGGTGTGGCTGTTTTTAACGATGGGTACCATTGGCACATGAGATGAAGTCCTGTTTCCCCAGTGGTCGATTAGACAGTGGGTCTGTATAAAATTTTAGGAGCTATTTGCTTACTTGATTTGGCTGACAACAAAAGAACTACCATTCGATTTCACACTGTTTCCTATTAAAGAGCAACCTTTGCTGATTACTTTGGAAGAAGTCCTGATTTAGGGGTAACAGAGTTACTTTTAATTGGAGAAGCTGGAAAGGCAAGACCATTTTATTTCATTATTTTGCATTTTTAAAGTGAGCTAATGCTGGCACTCCATATTTTGAAAATCAACCCTTTGAATGTATCTACAAAATGAAATTCATGGTTGAAAAACAAAAGAGAGCAGCTATAACTGAGAGGTTTGTGTGAGGCTTATATTGTTATACACGTAAATAATGAAAATATTGTTATATATCACCAGATCTTTTTAATGAATTTGGTCATTGTGTTTCTTTGCAGAGCAAGTGTCTTGTGCTTTGTAAAGTAGCCATTTGTTTCCTCCATTTCAATCCAGCCCTCCTCCCCTCCCAACCCAAAGGAAAGTGACAAAGTTCTGTTCCATCAATCTGGCTAATCCCAAACTAGGCCCATTGGTAGTCTGCAGACTCCTGTGGCTCCTGACCTGTGGTCCAAGCCTCAGCCATCTCATTCACCCGACCATCTTCCCCTGCGAGTCTGGGCGATAAATCATTCAAGGTGTATGTAAAATAGTCATTTTGCTATTGTTTCTCTGCCCTTTTTTTAGTCCTTAGCCAAGGACTGCTTCTTTGTTCCAAAACAGAACCCTTCACTCTCGATCTTAGAGAGTCCCCCTGCTTCCTCGTAGCCTCCAGTGTTTGCTCACTACCATGCTCATAATGTTTTGTGTGAATGGTTTCAAAATTCAGAGAATAATTGGTTCTAATATTAAATGCAGTATATACTATTGATAGTTTTATCGATAAGTGTAATATTTTAAATAATTTTAACAATTAAATTTGTTTTAAAATTATATATTTGTAAAAGTATTTATCTTGTTGGAAGCAACAATATATTGTTGTATTTATTCGTTTATTTTTGTAATAAATGATCAACCGCTCAAGCTAAATCAAAAATGACACTTTTATATATTTATACAAAACGCATTTGAAGAGATGGGCATATTTGCACCGATTTGTATGTAAATAGAGTAAGAGCCATCAATAATGTGTAGCTTTCAGAACTAAACTCAAGGCAGAAGCATTCTCTCCACATGGAGTTTAGTTTGCCCAAGTTCCAGGGCAATTAATCAAACTCTCAAATGGATGCAACAAGTATTGGCACTGGATACAGACTTGAAATTAATTATTTAGGAGGTGGACCTGGTTTTTTTCAAGGCAGAAGGGTAGAAATTACAGAATTCTTTCATGAAATGCAGTGGCTGACTGGACAGATTAGAACAGATGCTATGTATCCACGATAAAACCTAGTCCCTGGCTGTGCACAGACATCCATGCTGGGGAAGGTGTCAAAAGGAAGTTAAGACTTTGAGGTTATTGGTGACCCAGAAACCAGGTAATGTAGTAAAACGAGTTGTGCTGTGTTATTTTTTAAAGTGTCTTCTTAAAATGACTGTGAGTGAAAAGCCTTCGTCTCTTTGTCCAGTTACTGACAGCATAAGCCGCAAGGAGTGCAGGTGTTGTGTTGAGAGTGAGAGGTAAGGAGTGTGGGGCCAGCTCTTCAAGCTCTATAGTCTCTTCTCATCTCGGTTCCTGGCCTACGGTCTCCCCTGTGACCTGGCTGTGGAGCCCGCCCTGGGCTTGATCTTGGTTTCAGTAAGGAAATCAGCGAGCTCTGGGTTTGCTCCTGAACTTTCCAGTCTAGGAAAGGAAGTCCTGCGGAGGCTTGCAGCGATGCTTGGGTGGGGGCAGCGCAGATAGCAGGAGGGGTACTTGTGTAATCAGATTCTTTGATTTTGTTAGCCTGGCTCATGGCCTATTAATTAGATTACTCTCTTTCATTCTTGATTTCACATCCGTGTTTGTTCCAGTATCCTGAAATGTGGGCGCGCGTGGCCAGCAGGAGCCCATGATGTCACTGCCGGCCAGGGCAGCAGCCTGGCCTTCTGGAGGGCTGGGGGCTGCGCTCTGTGATGAGCCAGCTCTGGAGTGACCTAGGAGGGCTCCGGGCGACTGGCCTTCCCGTGGTGACACGCTGTGTGCACTGCGTGTGTGTCTGTACACGCGCGTCTGTGGGTGCAGGAGGGAGGGGCTGCGGAAAGTGGCAGCCAGATCTCCGAAGCCCTGGGGACGCAGAGGGCTCGCTCGGGTGCGGGGCCTGCCTCCAGGGGAGATGGGAGGTCCAGGAGCGGAGGGTGCTGGGCCGGGAGGCCGGGTGGGGTGGCATCCCCGCCGGACCAGCTGGCCAGTCCCACAAGTTGTTTTCCTCGTGGCGACCATTCAGCAAAACGCACGATCCTTTCTCCAAGATTTAAATTTCGCGGATGAATTACCATACAGCGGTTGCTTAGCAACTAAATTCAAGCAGGGCTAAGAATATGCAAGCTTTTTGTGTTCTCATTAATAAAAATGCCACTCTGACACAGCAGCCCGACTTTGGATCACTGCAACTTCTGTAAAAGCCGTAGGAGAATACAAACCGATCCTGCCATTTAATTACAGATCAAAATAGCTGGAAACGCGATGTTTTGTTCATCTATCTTCCTAAAAGCAATGTAAAAATAACGGCTTTCCGGAACCAGGAGTAAATCTTTTTTTTTTTTAAAGGAGTTTTCAAGCGGGGTTACCATAATTGTCCAATGAAACTTTTTAAAACACAGGTCGAAATAGCCGTCTGCACCACCATTTCTACCTCCCCGCGGCCCGCAGCCTCCGTGCTGCTCGCCTCCCCGCCCAACAATAACAGTTGTTCCAATCGTGGGAACCCTCGGGCCTGGGGGCCAGGAGACTGGGGGGCGGG